AGGCTGAGATCCTCACCCTGGTGGGACCCTATGGCTGAGCAGAGAAAATTACCTACAAAGAACTTTGCTTTTTTTTTTTGGTATCTTCCCTTTCAATATTAGGGCTATAATGGGTGGAGGGCTATATGTGAAGTGAATGCAGTAACTTGCTATTGCTCTTCATGAAAAAAAGAAAAAGAGAAGGAAGGGAGGGAGGTGAGGAAGGAAGAGAAAGAAAGGGAGAGAGGGAAAGAAAGAGGAGGGGAGGAAGAAAAGAAGGAAGGGAGGAAGAAAGGAGAGAGAAAGGAAAGGGAAGTAGGAAGAGAGGAGAGGGAAAGAGAGGAAGGGAAGAAAGAAAGAAAGAGAGAGGGAGGGAGGGAGAGAGAGAGGAAGGAAGGAAGGAGAGAGAAAGGAAGGAAGGAAGGAGGAAGGGAAGAAGGAAGAGAGTGAGAGAGGGAAGGAAGGAACCACCGGAGTAAGGGGAGGAAACAGGAATTTTTAAGTGTGATTTCTAAGAATGATAGTGATAGAATATTCTAAATTTGGATATTCTAAGAACTCATGCTTCAATTCTGGTAATTTTTTTTAAGAACAGCACAGTTAGCTTTCCTATTTATAGGAAAGACATAGGGATATGTATTCAGAAATAGATAAAATTAACTAGTGCTATTCTGAAGTGACATTGAATAGTTATCTAAATTTAACAGTTCCTTCCAATTTATGTACTAAGATTTATTTGGTTCTTGTGGAAGATATCTATCTTAAGTCCTAAAAATTAAGTAATTCGAACTCAGAGCCTTGCCAGGGCTTTGTCCATGCTAGGCAAGTGCTCTACCACCGAGCCACCCCCCAAACCCTATGTAATTCTTAAGTGGCCTGGCATTTAAGAAAAATGCATGTACTCAGGGCCATCCCAGAACTCTGGGAGGCTGAGGCAGGAGCATTACAAGTTCAAGCCTAGCCTAGGCAACCTAGCAAGACCCTGTCTCAGAAATAAAAAATGGCCTTAGTGTGAAAACTCTGGGTACCATTCCCAGTGATTTAAAAAAACAGAAAGAAAAGGGTGCATAGTGTATTTGGTGAGCAACACCATCTTGCAAATCTGTCCATGGGCTGTGATAACAAGCGTCCTCCCGCAGGGAGACAAGCTGAAGCCTTCTCTGGTGCAAAGCGACAGTCCATTTGGTCAAAGAACAGCCCTGCTGCTGCAGTTGTCCTGATCACTAGACCATTTTACACCCTGCCTGACCCTGGCAAAGCATGCTTTCTGCGCTTCCTATCTATAAAATAGGGTTTACACTTTCATTCTAGAGTATCACCTTCGCAGCAATCCAAAACAACAAAGAGCTGCCTCAAACCAAACAACTCGTAATCATGAGGTCAAGATTGAACTCACAGCTTCAGTCCTTGAGTCCAATGCACCTTCCTGGATAATCCAGTGGTTAACAGCATAGCTAGTCAGACTGTGAGGCTCTGACTCTGCCAAAGAGGTCACTGACCTCATGTGCAAGTCGGAGAACTGAACAGAAACTTCTGTGTTGACTGTAGTGAAGGGAGAATGCCATGACATAGACAAAATGTTCAGCAAACTGCCTGACAGAGGCATTCCCTTAATGTCACCTGCTGTCAGCTGCTGTGGTGGTTCGAGCCCGCAATCCCAGCACTTGGGAGGCTGAGGCAGGAGAATTTCCATGAGTTCGAGGTCAGCCCGGGCTACAGAGTGAGACCCTGTCTCAAGAAGAAGGAAGAGGAGGAGGAAGAGGAGGAAGAAGCATGAAAGTCTGGTCTAACATGATGAAGATCTCATGGGATGGCTCTATACAAGTGAATTCCCAAAGGATGCCCAGTCCTGGGTGACTGACAGACTCATGAATCAGAGAAGAAGGGCATGGCACTGGGAGGGCAGCAGCACCACTGACGGTGGGGTCTAGGAGAGGAAATGACATGAGGGGAGGTGCCCAGGTGCAGGGCAGGACAGGGGCTGAGGAGCAAGCCCAATCAGAGGTCATTCTTCACCACAGACACATGTCCTCCTGAGCAGGAGTCACTGATGTCACTAGAGGAGCATCCTGTGAGGACGTGGGCCTGAAGACTGGATCTGATCTGTTGTCACTGGAATGCACAGGAGGCAGACAGCCATGTGCTATGGTTTAGATGGAGAATGTCCCCAAACGCCTCATGTGCTCATAGGTGGAACTTTGGGAGGTGAATGAACCAAGTCATGGCTGACTTGCTTTGGGAGGCAGGGAAGTATTTATCTTCCTTCCTGGCTTCTCCTTCTCTCTCTGCCTCCTGGCCACCACACCATGCGCAGCTTTCCTTCACCCAAGCCCTTTCACCATGGTCTTCTCCTTCCCTGGAGCCAACCATAGACTGAAAACCTTGGCCAAAATAAACCTCTCCTTCAAGTTGCAGGTGTCAGGTACTGTGTCTCAGTGACAAGAAAGTGACTAAGCATGTGATGACTGAAGTCAGGATGAACAAGGAGCACAGTGCACATTCCAAAAACAAGTGGGGAGATGTGAGGGAAAATGGCATGGACTGAGTGCGTCCCCTAGAGTTCAGGTGTTGGAAGCTTAGTGCCCAGTCTGGCTGGATTAAGAGGTGGTAGGACTTTTAGGAGGTGGAACCTCCAGGGAGTTGGTTCAGTCATTGGGGGCACTGACCTTGAAAGGGATTAAGGTAGTTCTCAGGGGACCCTGAGTTAGTTCTCCTAAGAATAGGGTGCTATAAAAGAGAAAGTCTGACCTCTGACTCTCTCTGGCTTCCTGTCTTACCTTGTGACTGCTCCCTCTTGAATGTGCCCGACCATGAAGCCATCCACCATTAGGTTCTCACCAGAGGCCAAAGTGATGGGGCTGCCTGATCTTTCTGCCTCCAAAAATGTGAGCTAAATAAACCTGTTTTCTTTGTGAAGAACCCAGCCTCACTATAGAACACTATAGCAATGGAAAACTGACTACTAGAGGACAGTGGCATCATTAACATAGGTTCAGAGGTCAATGAGAAAGAAGTCATTGGGTCTGGCAGGATAAACTGAATTGTAGAAATTGTTCCACTCTTAAAAAAAAAAAGAAAAGAAAACTGTTCTATTACTATCACTACTGTGGCATTATACAATGATGAGCCTAAAAGAAGTTACTGTGTGGAACAGAAGTAAAAAATACTGTATCTAACTACATGGAGGTAAGTGTCATGCCAGAGGCCTAGGCCAAGTTTAATGGGCACAAAGTGTCGCTGATGATTAGTGAGTTACCAGAGATGGTACAGTCTGGCCAGGCTTCAGGGGTGAGCAGGCTTCAGGTGGGCAGGGAGGAGGTAGAGGACACAACATGAGCAAGGCTGGGGGTAGGACAGCACAAGGGATCCCAGAGAGAGAGGAGTGCACAGGGCCAGCCAGAATAAAACCAGAAAGGCAGACAGAAGCAGGACAATGAAAGGCCAGGGCACCATCCCAGAGAGTTCTTACTTTTGTAGGAAAGCCATGGACAGCTTTTGAAAATGGATGAGACACTATTTAATCTGTGCTTTAGCATATAGGACAGAGCCCGGAAGCCTAAGGTGCAGCAGGGCTGGCCAGGGGACCCCTGCTGTAGCCCAAGTAAGTAATGATACCAGTCTGGACAGGGTGGTGACCTGGGGGAGAGGGAAGTGGGACTGGGCAAGGAGTGGACAAGGAGTGATGGACGCCACACTGAGGGTGTGAGTCTGTATGGCTAGGAGCAGGCAGCACGGTCCAGAGACCTACAGAAGTCAGGAGGTGGCTCAGACAGGTGCCTGTGAGAGAGCTCTAGGAAGGAGAGAGGGAGGGATCAGAGATAAGCAGTTCATGGCTCGGGTGACTACACAGCTACCGATGCCATCATCCAAAACAGAGAAGGATGCACATTTGCTATGTTCTATTCATTAATTTGCTGTTTGACACAGGATCTCACTGTAGTCCAGTCTGGCCTTAAACTGTGTATCCCAGGCTGGACTCAAACTTGAGAGGTGAGTGGGCTTCAGATGGGCAAGGAGGAGAGGGCATTCCAGGTAGAGGACACAACCTGAGCAAAGCTGCCTCGGCTTCCTGAATGCTGGGATTACAGGCGTGTGCCACCATGCCCAGCTCTGAGGAGTGTTTTAGATGGAATAGGCTGAGGTTCCTAAGAGACAAGTTTTAAAATCAACTTGCCGTCTGTTATGGCTTGTATCTAGACTCTCCAAAGCCTCTTGCCTGCTCCTTGTCCTTCCGATCTCAGCTTCTACATTCCCTCCTCAGTGGGGCCTTCTCCAATCACCAATCTAGAGCTACCCAAGGCTGGGGTGTGGCTCAAGCAAGCCCTGTGTTCCATACCCAGCCCTGCAAAAACTAAAATGAGACGCCCCCTGCCCCGCAAGCGCAAGGACCGGAGTTTGATCCCCGGTACCAAAAAACAAAAAAACAAAAAAAAAACTAAAATGAGACTCGTGGCCGTCTCATCAGCGTAACGTACCCACTGCACCCCACCACAAAGCACTTATCACTTAAGTGTCGCCATACTTTACGTTTCGCCTCCACCCTACCCCTTCAGCCTTTAGGGACAAGAGCTCTGTCTCATTCAGGCCCAACTCCCAGGGCAGAAAAGGGGGCCAAACACAGGGCAGACACTTAATATCTGCTTGTTGAATAAAAAGGAATGACGAGAGTAAAAAAGGAATGAGAGGCCTGTCCCCAGCCTGCGGCCTTGCCCCGTGGAGGGAAGGAAGATAAACTCGCAACGTCGGAGGCAGAATCGTCCCTACAGTACCCATCCTCATCCCATTCCCCAGACTGCAGAACCCCCCACTTCTCCGAGCCTGCACCGGACCCTTTACAAACATTTTCCGCAAGGTGTTCTCGCCTTGACCCTCAAAGTCCTTATTCCCGTTTGCCAAAAGCGCTCGCGGGATCCCGGGCGGCCTCCCAGAGAGGAGCGGTGGCGGAGCGGCGACCGCGCGCTCCAGCCGGGTCGGGGCCCACTGAGGCTTGCCCCGCCCCCGTCGTCTCGGCAACCGTGAGTGCCACGTGCGCGCGGGCACCGTTAATGCGCGGGTGCCCGGGAGCTGCGGCCTCGGGGCCCGCGGGGCTTTGCGGCTTGGCGCCGGCTGTCCTCTCCTCATTTCCCTCGCACGCCTCCCCTCCCCAGCGCCCGGTCCGGTCGGCGGCGGATCCCCCAGCGGCCGGGGTCGGGAGCCGAGGCCGCACACACCCGCGCGGTGGGACGGAGGCCGCCATGGTAATCCTTGCCCGCCAGACAGGGAAGCTCCAGGGGCTGACGCCGGGTCGCGTCATGGCCCCGTGGATGGGCGGATCCGACCCGCTGTGCACTAGAGGCACAGGACCGGGTCGGGAGTGGGACCTCGGGCCGCCTGCGCCTGCCCAGCAGCTCAGCGGCGGCAGGGTCAGCTGCGCACCCTCTCTGGGACTCCGTGGCGCGTCGTTCGCGCCCGGAAGATGCGCCTTTGCAGGGAAGGGAAGGAAGTCGGCCCCGCAGTGTGGAAGCCCAGGGCGCGGTAGGCGAGCTCCGAGACTGGCCCGGCCCGGCGCTTGGCTGCACCTGCCGCTGCCCGGCGGGAGTCCGCAGACTCGGAAGGAGAAAGTAGCCGGGCGTGGTGGTGCACACCTGTGAACCCAAGCACTCTGGGAGCCTGAGGCGGGAGGATTGCAAGTTCGAACCCAACTTCGACAGCTTAGCGATTTAGTGAGACCCTGTCTCAAGCGAAAAGGGCTTGGCATGAGAGGCCTTGAGTTCTTTAATCCCTAGCAAGGATGGGGGTTTAGGGGTAGGGTAGAAAATGTGCTCTGTTCCCACCACTGCACTGCCAGCCATCGCACAGTCCTGTTTCTCAGCCCTCATGCAGGCATATGCGGCCTTCCTACCCTCCAACCTCTTATGCTTTATCTACCATACTACTTTCTCTGCTTAAGAAACCAAATATTCATCTTGCAGTGGACCCACGCTCTTCCAAAAGCTTCCTGCAGGGGCCGGGGATTTAGCTCTGGTTCCGCCGCCTGCTTTACAAGTGCAAGAACCCTAGTTCGATCCCCAGTACCAAAAAAAAAAAAAAAAAAAACCGCAAAAGCTTCCTGCACTGGTCCACCTGAAGTTGTTGCTTTGTTTTGAGACAACGTCTCGGTGTGTAGCCCAGGCTGGCTGTGAACTCAGTGATCCTCCTGCCTCAGCCTGCCAAGTGTTGGGATCACAGGTATGCGCCATGAGGCCCAGCTTGCTCTTCTTTTTAAGACCCAGCTCACAAATACCTCTTGTTTTCTCTTGCTCCTTAAGTGCCAGTAGCCCTTTGCACCTTAATTTAAGGTGCTTTGCCGGGAAAGCTTTGCTCTTCACCCCACTAGATTGCAGTGTAGAAAGGCATTTGGTAAGTCTGTGGTCTTTCCATTTCTTCAGTGAAGTCCCAAGTACTCTTGATTTCAGTGGAGAGTTTTTCCAGGGTCACCTTATTTGGTTGGTACTGCTGTTTTCTTTTCTTTTTTTTTTTGGTACCAGGGATCGAACTTGGGACCTTGTGCTTGCAAGGCAGGCAGTGGAACCACTGAGCTAAATCACCAGCCTGGTACTGCTGCTTTCTTTCAGGGGCCAGAGAACAGGAGCAGAATGGTTTACAAAGCCCCTTAGTAGCTTTCCACTGCTCCTTGGATAGAGGTCTGACCTATTACTTAACAGTCTGCAGGCCTGGCCTTGGCTACCTTTCCCTGCCCAGCTCTTGTCAGTGGTCCCCTGTGGGCTGGCCACCCTGACCTTGTTCACTTTCTTGGTCCCTTCAACTTTGCATTTTTCTCTCCAACTTCAGAGCCTCTGTGAGGCTGTTTGTCCTGCCTAGGAATTCTCCACCCTTCTGCCCACTCTTCAGGGACCCTTCCTTGCTGTCTCTGCCCATCCTGTGCTGTCATAATGCCATGTACTCCTCAGCTCCTCCTTCCCTGCACAGTTGGTGAGTAAATGGTATCTGGTTAGGTGGCTGCTACCTTTCTCCCTCTGGACTGCAAGCATCACGAGCACACAACTCAGATCTGCTTTACTCTGCATCTAATACAGGGTCTGGTACACTGTAGGTCCTTGTTAAATACTTACTGAGTGGACAAAAGATGCATCTGGAAATCAATCCAGAAAAGCAGAAATCCTTTCTTGTTTTCTAAATCCTTTCCCAGTATTGCATCTGAGCTGCAGTTTATTCATTCAGTAAATATTTATTCATCCCTACCATGTGCCATGTTTTGGCCTAGGCCGGGGAATTGAGTTAAGAAGTCATAGATAAAAACTCTCATTAAGGAAACGATAAACACATAAACACTTAGTATTAAATAGTGAAAAGTGCTTAAGGTAAGGAAATAGAAAGTAACCCTGCAGGGAGCAAGAATTTGTTGGGAGGTTTTCAGATAGGGAGACCATTACATGGATGGTCCTCACATAAACTTGCTTGGATAGTCCCAGGTTATGTTCATTTGTGTTTGTTGAGGTGTCCTTGTCCCAGCAAACTGTGGTCACCCTAATTACAGACAGAATAGTCACTGTGTCACAGAGGTTTTTCTAAAGAGCAGAGGCCAGGTGGGAGAGAAGAAACAAATCATGCCCCTTTGACTGTGTGCAAGGCCTGCACTGGGAGAAGCTTGGGAGACCAGGAACTAGAAACAAGGCCAGGGCAGCTGGAGCCAAGTGGAAGACATTCCTTAGAGAGTTAGCAAGGTTTAAGTTGGGAGCTGTGTGCTGTCCCGGAACAGCCAAGAAGCACAGAGTGGCGCTGAGCCAACCAAAGGAACGGAAGGGCCCAGAAACCACAAATGTTCATTCTGCTCCCCTGTGACAGTTTAAACAGATTTATAAAGTATAATTGAGGGCCAGGGATTTAGCTCAAGAGGTTCTGCCGCCTGCCTTGAAAGCGCAAGGTCCTGAGTTCGATCCCCGGTACCAAAAAAAAAAAAAGTACAATTGATATGCAGTCGATTGTATTTGCCTAAAATGCTTAAAATGTACAATTTGATAAGTTTGGCATATGTTTCTATTCATTAATCCAGCACTAATATTAAGGTAATAAATTTAGCTGGTCTTTGTGGTATACTTCTGTAATCCCAGCACTCTGGGAGGGTGAACCAGGAGGATTGAAAGCTCGAGCCCAGTTTGGGCAATGTAGTGACTTACCAAGACCCTGTCTCAAAATTTAAAAAAAAAAATTTAAAAACCAGAGATACAGCTGAGTGTGAAGGCCCTGGGTTTTATCCTCAGTACCCCCACAGAAAGGAATAAATTTATCCATCGCCCTGAAAGTTTCCTTGTGCTCCTTTGTAGTCAACCCTTTCTCTTGTCCATCCCAGGCAGCCACTGATCTGCTGTTTTCTGTCTTATTTTGTTATTTCTAGGACTTTACAGAGTTTGATATATAATAAATATCATTTTGGGGTCTGATTTCTGTTACTTGAGTAATTTTTTTTTTTTTTTTTTGGTACCGGGGATCAAACTTGGGACCTTGTGCTTGCTTGGCAGGCACCAGAACCACTGAGCTAAATCCCTGGCCCATTTGTGTAATTTAAAAAAAAATGTTTGAGACAATCTCTAGGTAGTTCAGGCTGGCCTGGAATTTACAGCAATCCTGCCTCAGCCTCCCAAGTGCTGGGATTACAGGCATGTGCCGACACTCCCAGTTATGCATAATTATTTTGATGGTGAACTTACGTACTTGTTTTTCATGGATTATACTTTGGTGTCCTATCCAAGATATCTTTGCCTACATGAAGGCCACAAAAGTCTTCTATATTTTCTTCTAGTTTCATACTTTTTGATTTATATTTAGGTCTATGATCCATTTTGAGGCAATTTTTAATATGGTGCAAGTATTGATTTAGGTTCTCTTTGTTTTGCAAATGATTATTCATTATTACTGCACCATATGTTGAAAAGATTATCTTTGCTTCACTAAGTTACTTTACACTTTTATTGAATATCAGTTGTTCCTATATTTGTAGACCTGTTTCTGAACTTTTTATTCTGTTCCATTGATCTATTTATCTCTCAACACTACTATCACACCATCTTGGTACTGTAGCTTTGTAGTAACCCTTGAAATAAGGTAATGTTAGTGTTCCAACTTGGTCTTTCTTCTTCAAAGTCCTTTCCATTTCTATGTGAATTTTAGAAACTTGATACAAAAACCAGAACTTTGAATAAAATCGTCAGACCTTTATGTCTGCATTTCCATATAAATTTTAGAATCAGTTTGCCAACTTCTACAAAAAGATGAGAACTTTGAATAAAAATATCAAACTTTTATGTGAATTTTAGTTCTCAAACCATTTTAGAGATACACACACGCATACACACACACACACACTGACACTGATGCAGTAATTCCATGTAGATCCTGTGGTTGACATGCAAGAAAATATAAAGCTAAACTGGGTGTGGTGGTACAAGCCTGTAATCCCAGCAATCAGGAGGCTGAGGCAGAAGAATCACTGTGAGTTCAAGGCCAGTCTGAACTGCCTAGTGAGACCCTGTCTCAAAAAAATAAAAAATAAAAATTAGAAAAAATTGGGCCAGGGATTTAGCTCAGTGGTTCTGGTGCCTGCCTCGCAAGTGCAAGGTCCCGAGTTTGATCCCCAGTACCGCCCCCCCCCAAAATTAGAAAAAATATAAAGTGCATGGCATGATCACACATGCCTGTAATCCCAGCACTTGGGAGGCTGAGGCAGGAAGATCACCATGAGTTTGGGGCCAGCCTGGGCTACATGGCCAGACCCTGTCTTAAAAAGTATAAAGTCAGGCCGGGGATTTAGCTCAGTGGTTTCGCCGCCTGCTGCGCAAGCGCAAGGACCCGAGTTCAATCCCCGGTACCAAAAAAAAAAAAAAAAAGTATAAAGTCATAAAAAGCCAAGACCCAAAATCTTTAAAAGCTTATGACAAAGTTTACATCCTGCACCCCACAGGGATGTTTTATCAGGAGAATGCAGTTATAAAGGGCTTCATATTATTTCTTCTTTTTATTTGGATTTTCTTAGAGAAGCTGGGCCACTGTGTTACACTGCTTATCTCCATTTCTGGGTTTTGTATCCAGGAATGATACACATTTCACCTAAGAAATATGAATTTTAGTGTTATAAACATATTAACTATGTTTTTCTTTGGTTTGGGACATTTTTAAGTGAAGAGCTATGAACAGGACATTCATTTTACATAAGTATTTAGCCTTTGGAGGTATCCTTGACAATTTATACCTTTTCCCTTGCCTGGAAGAGATACTTTCATAATACCCTTCTAGCTGTTATTTGCTGTAAGCGTGAGTCAGAGGACATAGAGAAATTCAACTCAGTTTTGTGCATCTCTAGCAAAACTTTGGAAACAATTGATTTCAAGGTCAGGATAATACCTATCACTTTCTCAGAGGGTATTGATCTCAATATAGTGGTGGGCGAGCACTGACCTTGCTGAGCCACTGTTACTACTTTGCTTTTTCCTTTTTTTTTTTTTTTTTTTTGGTACTGGGGATCAAACTCAGGACCCTCCACTTGCAAGGCATGTGCAGCTCCACTGAGCTAAATCCCCGGCCCACTGTGTTACTAGTTTTGAAGGTAGCAATAGTAACTACCTACCTCGAAACACAGCTCCAAAGATCAGTGGTGGTAAAGATGATGACATAATCATTTACTGAGTGCTTGCCAAGTGTGTGTATGTGTGTGTGGTTTTCTTTCTTTTCTTTTTCTTTCTTTTTTTTTTTTTTTTGAGACAGGGTCTTTCTTTGTATTTCAGGCTGACTTTGAACTCTATGTGCACAGGCTGCCCTCAAACTCTCAGTGATCCTCCTGCCTCAGCCTCCGGAGTGCTGGGAATATAGGCATGTGCCAACATGCCTGGCTGCCTTGTGTGTTTTGGGTTTGTGTCTCAGTTAAACTCCAAAACTGCTTAAGCAAGTAGAGACTACTTGCAAAACAATTATCCAAATATGTGTTATCTATATTATCTGTGTTTTTTGCTAAGTGAAATGGAGTATATTCCTAATTATCTAATATGTTTTAAGTTTAAATTTTATTGTGAAAATTTCCAGCTGTACACAAAAATAAAATAGTAAGATGAATCCCTATGTATCCATTTCTCAATTCATAAATAATCAGGAATTTGCCACATATGCTTCATTTAGTCTTTACAGAAAGGAGGGGCAAATCTCAGAGTTTCTTTCACTTTCCTACAATCCAGTGAGTGCCTCTGAGACATGGGAATGTTTTCTACTATGACCCAATGCCATTATTAGATCTAATGGAATCAATAATTATTTGATATTATCAAATTTCCCTGATTGCCTGGAAAAAAAGCCTTATTACAGCTTGTTCAAATCAGAATACAGTTCCAGCCATGGTGGCACGTGCCTGTAATCCCAGCACTTGGGACGCTGAGGCAAGAGGATCGCCATGACTTCAAAACTACATAGCAAGATCTTATTTCAAAAAAAAGGGAGGGGGCCAAGGATTTAGCTCAGTGGCACTGTGCCTGCCTCCCAAGCACAGGGTCCTGAGTTTGATCCCTGGTATGGGGAGGGGGGGATGCAAACAGGCCACACCTTGCATTAGGTTGGGTCTCTTAATAATAAGAGATACTTACTAAACACTTGTCACATTGACAGCTTCCATTCCATGTGAACTTTCTGTGGCAGTTTAGATTTTTTTCCTTTTAGAACTTTTATTTTCTTAAGTGCAATTAAGGAAATGTGGGAAATAATGTCAAAGTGATAGAAACTAACCCTCCCTCCCCGTTTGTATTTGTCTTGACAGCCGGGTAAAGGGAAGAGAGGCAAAGGGCTGGGCAAGCCCCGCGGGAAGAAGCAGAAGAAGCCGGAAGTGGACATCCTGAGCCCTGCCGCCATGCTGAACCTGTACTACATTGCGCACAACGCCGCGGACTGCCTACAGCTGCGTGGTTTCCGCTGGCCCGGCGCGCCCAGGGGGAAAAGGGGCAAGAACAAGACCTAAGGGAACAGAGACTGGGATAACTGGACAACGACTGCAGCAAAATAGACTTTACTGAAGACATTTGGAAACGCATGCTCAGCGTGCTTTTCGGTGGTAAATTAGGATTTAATGCATTTTACTTCCTCGGTGAAGCCAGGTATAGCTAAGGGGAGGTTTTTCAAGTTAAGGGAAACAAGTCTGAGTAATTCTTACACAGTGTGGTGGAATTCATACTACTTTTAATGATTCTGCGCCAGAATTAAACCTTGCTCTCGAAAGGCAGTTCCAGTTTGCATGATTTGTTTTCTTTTGCAGAAGGGAGTTTGTTATTTAGAGAAGACACAGCACATGCTCAGGCTTTACTTATGAACATCCCTCTCCGGCACTGTTTTTGGTTTCTGTTTTTCTCCTGGTGCAGGGGATGCTATGGCAAAAGCACACAGCAAACTGCCTGATGGAGTCACTCCCTTAATGTCACCTGCTGTTGGCTGGCGAGGTGGCCCTAGCCTGTAATCCCAACACTCGGGAAGCTGGGGCATGAGAACTGATGTGAGTTCAAGGCCTGCTTGGGCTACCTATTGCACGGCCAGCCTACATGAAGACCCTGCCTCAGAAACCAAAATAAATAAAAAGTGTGTGTGTACCTTCCAATCCTCCACTTGTGGTGATTGAGCATGTGGAATGTGGCTTTGCAACTAGAGAACTGAACTGATTTGATTTCCTTGTAATTGATTTAAATTGGACACTTTGGGGCCAGGCCTTGCGGCATCCAGGATCCATGTCAGTGCCCGGGACCTCACAGCAAGGTTCTGAATCTTCCTTCCTGTGCAGTGGTGGTGAGACCAGGGATTCTGCGTGCTGGAACATTTGGCCCTTTCCTTCTTCTCTGCCTCTCACCCCTCCACCTTGCAAGGATGCTTGCTGTGGGTTCCTGCTTTGCCACAACTTCAGCTCCACTTTATGGTCTTTTTTTTTTGCTTGCTTTGAACTTCAGCTTCCTCTCCCACCTCAGCCTCTTGGGGTGTGACAGGAGGGAGGACCCAGTGGACACCCCAGGCCTTTGTGGGGCCCAGCTCTGTGGCAGCAGCAATGGGTGAGCCCTCACAGTCACTGCCTCCCCCTCGCCCCTCCCCCTTGCCCTCAGCTGTGCCTGAGGGGTGGGATGGTTGGGTCAGGTATTACTGGACGGGGACACCCAGAGTATTGGGACTATGGTCATGAACACTCACTTTCGCTCCCTCTACATCTCCCCTGATGGTCAAGATCCTAGAAAATACTACTTCTTCAGGTCTTATTCACTTCCTAATCTCTCTGTCACACCTACCTACCTTTCTTTCTTTCTTTTTTTGGTACTGGGGATTGAACTAGGGACCTTGAGCTTGCGCAGCAGGCACCAGAGCCACTGAGCTAAATCCCCGGCCAGCCTGCCTGCCTGCCTTCCTTCCTTCTTTCCTTCCTTCCTCCAACTTTGTACTTTTTGTTTGGCTGGTTGGTTTGGTTTTTGAGATAGAGTCTCACTGTGTAGTCCAGGCTGTCTTCCATATAGCTCTCCTCCTGACTCAGCCAGCCTACTGAGTGCTGAAATTACCAGTGTGTGCCACCAGACCCAGTTTCCCATTTTGTGTTTTAAAAAATTTCAGACCTACAGAAAGTTTGAAAAAAAAAACATACAGTGAACATTGGATCCTCTGCCTTGAGCAAGGCTTCCAACCTTGGCCTCCTTGACCTTTTGGGCTGGATGGTCCCCTACTGTGGGCTGTCCCTGGGTTCTAGGATGTCCGGTAGCACCCTGCTGAGGTGCTGCTGTGCCACCCACCTCCCTCCCCACCTGCCAAATGCCACAGCACACTTGGCTGTGACAGCCAAACGTCTCCACATTGCCAAATGTCCCCCAGGAGGCAAGAAGCCCCCTCCCCGCCGACTTGTGAACCACTGACCTAGATTCATAAATTAACATTTTGTCGCATTTGTCCCTGCACCCTATACACATTAATAATATGAATACATATTTGTATATACACAAAACATTTACATCCAGACATTTATTAAATTCATTTAATATATAAGCCATGTTCATTTTTTCTTAATCACCTCAATAATGTTCTTTTTGAACATTATTTTGAACACATTTCATGGGATCCTTTTCTTCTGGTTCTGCTTCCCAGCAATTGGGAAGGTTGAGCTTTTAAGATTTTTGCAATTGAGGGTTCAATCACCAACACTATAAGATTTTTTGCAATTGAAAAAGATCTTATGTTTTCTTTTGTACCCAGGAAATCAGGAAGTATGCATACAGAGTATAATGTAAAGTGCTGAATTCTGAATTACATTTTGGGGAATCTAAACACTAATCAAAAAATATTTCAAGACAGCTTTGGGGTTTTGTTTTTGCTTTTTTTGCAGGGGGGGGTGGGTGCTAGGGATTGAATCCGGAGCTTTTGCACTGAGCTCCATCTCCAGCCCTTTTATTACTTTTTGAGACAGGGTCTCACTAAATTGCCCCAGCTGAGCTTGAACTTGTGATCCTCCTGCCTCAGCCTCCCAGAGTACTGGGGTTATAGGTGTGCACTATCACACTCAACTGGACAGTTATCTTGTGTGGCTCCTTCAGGAGTTGGAGGTGCTGAAGAAGACATGATTAGGGGTAAGAAGAGCATTGTGCACTTTGCTCAGGTATCTTGATGACTTTGGTCACCTCGATCAGTGCTTGGATTACTGATCCAAAAATCAGTCCTTTGTGGGAGGAGCACTGTTTTCTCAGGCCTTTCAACCACTTTTTACTTGATGTGACCCTTCCTGGTCACCCTCATCTGGATATCACGTTTGTCACTGTGCCTGGAGCTCAGATGCGCACCCACACTTGGCCACATGACTTCACCCAGTGTGGCTTCTGGAATCCAGAGTTAGACCATGCTTCTAGGCCAAGCTGACCCGAGGCCTTCACATTAGGGTCACTCTTCTTTTTAAATAGATCCTAGTGGGCTGGGAATGTAGCTCAGTGGTAAAGCCCTCACCTAATGTGCATAAGATCCTGGGTTCAATCCCCATTACTGCAGAAAATAAAATCAGTCAAGGCATGGTGCAGCCACTCTTCAAAAAGTTAAACATAAAGTCTGAATGCATCCCCTGCAAGTTCACGTATTGAGATTTAATCCCCAGTGCAGCAGTGTTAGGAAGTGGCTGTTGGATGTGTAACTTCTATTAAAGAAGGACCCAGCAGAGGGAGTTTGGCCCCTCTCTGCCCTTCTGTCCTCCACCCTCTGAGGGCACAGCAAGAAGGCTCCACCAGATAACAGATACTCCTGCCTTGATCTTTGGCTCCCCAACCTCTAGAACTCAAATTTCTGTGGTATTTTGTGATAGGAGCACAAAATGGACTAAGATGCCATATGATCAAATGAACCCATTCTTAGGTATCGACAAGTATTGAAAGAGCCAGCTGGGCATGGTGGCACACACTTGTAATCCTAGTACTTTGGAGGCTGAGACAGGAGGATCACTGTGAGTTTGAGGCCAGCCTGGGCTACATAATGAGTTTAAGTTCAGCCTGAACTACATAGCAAGACCTTGTCTCAGAAAAACAAGCAGAGCCAACCAGATAATTGTACACTCATGTTCATAGCCACCGTTCACAGCCCAAAGAGGGAAACAACCCAGTTCTCTATCAGTAGCTGAGTGAGTACAATACAACTTTGTTTTGTTTTGTTTTGTTTTTTGAGACAAGTTCTCACTGTGTAGTTCAGGCTGGCCTTGAGCTCACTATGTAGCCCAGGCTGGCTTCAAACTCCCAGCAGTTCTCCTGCCTCAGCCTCCTGACTACTGGGATTACAGACATGCACCGACACACCTGACCTATAATAGAATATTATCTGGCCTTAAAAATGAATGAAGTTCTCCAACTGGTCTGGTGGCCCATGCCTATAATCCCCGTATCAGGAGGCTGAGCCAGGAGGATTGTCTCTAGTTCAAGGCCAGCTTAAACTACACAGTGAGACCCCATCTCAAAAAAAAAAAAAAGAGATAATAATGTCAAGTGTATAGCACAGTGCCCAGCACATGGTAAACACACAAGACATCTTAATGCTGCCTCTGGGACTAATTAAAGAATGTACTGTTGACACAGGCTGCCATTCAGACTGTGGGTTTGGTTTCTTCCTATCTTCAAGCTTTTTCTCACACACGAATCCTGTGAAGTTAACTATTTAAATTGTCAGCTAAAACTTAATTCTTACCTCAGAATGAAAAGCTTAAAGTCAAAACAACTAACAAGTAGGTCTGTGCTGACAGTGCTGCAGGAACACACATTCTGTCCTTGAAATCAAAGAGCTTACGTTTTTTCACACAGTTGCCTTTGAAGGAGAGATGGATGGCAGGCCTTGGGTCTGAAACAACAGGGACACTGGGTCAGGTGGTGGCACCTGTCATGAGGGGCTGTGGTGTTGAGATGGGGAAGTATGATCACGAATCTGTGGAGGAGTTGACTGTGTTCAAAGCTGAAGGTAGGAATCTGCATTCAAAACTAACTGCCCAAGGGTCACAATTAAAAAGCAACCAAATCAACCAACCAACCAATCAATAAAACATCTTGTCTTCAAAACAAAATTCAAACACCAAATGCCATGAAGCCTGTGGTTTCTAGGTTCACCAAGGAGACTTTCCACCATCCTATTGTTGAGCTCTCTGCTGGCCCAGGCTGTCCCTCAGGATGTGGGTTTTGTTTTTCACAAGACACAAAGCACCCGAGTTCGCTTTGTTTAAAGCCACTCCTGTTCTCATGGTAACTGATGGTCCATCAGCACCAAAATACATAAAAGACATTGAGGCAGCTAGGAGATGTTACTACGACAACTGGAGTTTCAAGTGTACATTTTTAAAGGCACGTGGGAGGGTTTGATTTCACTTTCTTCTGGGTAGGATGAGCCAAGCATTTTAGAAACAGGGTACCCCAGGGTCTGAGGTTGGAGTTCATGCATTCATAGCACTGTCTGGGAATCAGGGTGACAAGGGTGTCAGCCTCAGAGTTCTGTGAAAATCACCTCAGTGAAATGTTGCTTTCTCTTCAGAAAACCTGCAAAGCTGTCTGTGTGGGGAGTCAGCAGGATGGAGATGATCCCAGGAGAAGAACTCTAGATTTTTAACCTTTATGGAATTTGCAGGTATGAGATGACCAAGAGAAACAAGCCTATTTTTAAAAATGTCCAATCAAGGGCTGGGGATTTAGCTCAGTGGTTCCGCCGCCTGCCTCTCAAGCACAAAGTTCTAAGTTTGATCCCCAGTACCAA